AGTGCGTGCACAACACGTGGATACTGCGATGGAAACAATCGACACTACCGCGCCGCAGCAAAACCATACAAAACATGTAGCCCAAACCATTGCACACAACAGTGTTTTTGAGAATGCAGCTGGCGCTCGAGCTGGAAGCCAGCGCCGCCAGCGTCGACTTATTACACCCCGTAGGATCGCACAGTCATCGTCAAGGGCGTGCCGAATAATCAAGCCAGGTGACGCTTCCAGAGGGGAACGATCCTCGCGAAGGGCGGTAAGTATTGGGCCAGGTGACGCTGTGCGAAAATGGTGGAGCTGACAAAGATGACGGTGATGCTGCGCATCATGGCCACAATGCTTCTGTGCGACGATCGGCTGCGCTGGGTCCGCGCTGGGGCGCGACGCGGCGCGACGGCCCCGACGGCGTGACCCCATGCGAGCTTCCACAACTGACGGCGCTGGCCTGCACTTGGCCAACACTGGGGCGCGACGCGACGGCGGCAGACGCGGCGCTAACGCGTGACGCTATGCGACCTACCATTTGCAATGGAACAAAACAATCTACAAAAAAACGCCGGAACCCAGACAACCCCTCCAAGATGGTAACGATAAGCCTCCCAGCATGAAATTGCGGCCACCGCTCGGGCGGGAGCGCCGTTCCCAATCAGGGATGTCGCTGGCGCTCGGGTAGGAGCACCGTTCCCAACCACGGATGTGGCCAGCACTCGAGCGGCGGCACCATCCCCACCAAGGATGTGGCCAGTGATCGGATGGGAGCACTGTTCCCAATCAGGGATGTGGCCGGCGCGCGCGCGACAGCACCAATCCCAGGCGAAAGCACCATTCCCAAACAGGGATATGGCCCGCGCTCGAACTGCAGCACCACACTCAGGCAGGCACGTGACCAGCGCTGAGGCAAGACTAGCAGACCCAGTCAGGGATGTGGCTAGCGCTCCGACAAGAATACCGCTCCCAATCAGGGATGCGGCCAGCGCTCGAGCGGCAGCACCATCCCCAATCAGGGGTGTGGCTGGCGCTCGTACCACACCCAATCAAGGCTGTGGCTGACGCTCTGGCGAGAGTGCAATCCCAGAAAGGAATGTGGCCAGCGCGCAGGCGACAGCACCATTCCTTCGACAGAATTGTTGCCAGCGCTCAGGCGACAGCGCACCACTCCCGATCAGGAATGTGGCTAGCGCTTAAGCGAGAGCAACATGCCGACACAGGAGCATGGCTGGACTTCCAAGTGTAAGCCGCGCCGGACGCCCTGCTCCTCGCCCGACGCCCCCACCCACGGAACTTCCGTTCTTGGGACCCGCCCACCCCACGATTTCCCGCCCAAAATCAACCGACGCCCCGCTCCTTGTCCGACATTCCCACCCACGGAACCTCTGTTCTTGGGACCAAGAAACCCAACGATCTCCCGCTCAAACTCGACCGGCGCCCCCCTCCTCGTCCGACACTCCCACCCACGGAACCTTTGCGACCCCCCCCCACGATTTCCCGCCCAAATTCAACCGACGCCCCCCTCCTCGTCCGACACCCCCACCCACGGAGCCTCTGTTCTTGGGACCCCCCCGCCCCACGATTTCCCGCCCAGAATCGACCGACGCCCCCCTCCTCGTCCGACACCCCCACCCACGGAACCTCTGTTCTTGGGACCCCCTCACCCAACGACGCCCCGCCAAAAATGGACCGACGCCCCCCTCCTCGTCCGACAATGCCATCCACGGAACCTCTGTTCTTGAAACCCCTCCACCCAACGATTTCCCGCCTTCTGAAGGGGGACGCCAAAATGTGCTGATACCGCTACTCCCCGACCTCTCCCGGGGTGGTTTCTGACCAGGACTTCGGAGCGAATCCAGCGGTGGCGACGAGGGCCTCCCAGGAAGCCCAAAAAGGGGACAACCGGCGAAGGGTAGCAGTATGGATACCTTATCCTCCTCTGACTGAGGGGGAGCGATAAGAGGGAGGGGGACTGGTTCTAAGGGGCAGAACCATTGGCCTGGACTCGGCGATACGTCGCCAGCAGATCGGCGAAAGGCGCCCGATAGCAAATCCGCAAGATCCTGAGCGGGGTGGAAGAACAGGCCCCCTGTCGGCAATGGATAGACGATCGGGGGTCGATGCACCCCATCCCCTGAGCCTATCTTTGGTCGACCCAACAGGGGGTCCAGCAGAAAGGCGGTGGTGCAATAGACTTGGGGCAACTCTATTACAACTGTACTGCGACGAAGAATGGTATTGCACTGTATTTCAACGGATGCATTGCACGCGAAAGCCCAGCAATGCATTTGCGCACCGCAATGCACTGCACGCCCAAAACCTATTGCAACCCCGCACACCTATTGCACCAGATCCATTGCACCACCCCTTTCAGCTGGACCTCCTTTTGGATTAAGCAGAGATCGGGGGGCGATGCCCTCCTCCCCCAGAGCCTATCCCCCCCTAACGTTGCCCCCTAGTTGTTGGCCCTTAGCTCGGCTCTCCGGCGGCCGCTCGGGACGATCCAGGCACGCCCAGAACGCCCTCGACGAGGTGCGGAGACCACCCTGGGCATCGAAAACTTCTGAGAACTGCGGCAAACCATCGAAAACCGACGAGGCGCAGCTGATGGCGACCACCCTGGGCATCGAAAACTTCCCACAACTGTGGCAAACTGACCAGGCAGTCGAAGCGAACCCAGCCGAGGCGACAGGGGGAGGGTTGCAAGATCGCCAACTGTTCATCCTCGGAGGCGCAACCCACTAGCGGCCCTCGGCAAAACACCTCATTTTACGAGACCTGTTCCCTGCATAGGCTCTGCCTAGAAGGGTTCTTACTCTCTATCTTAAAGGGGCAGAGCAGTGTTGCCCGCCCCGGGCGGTTCCCCCAGTCCGCTGGGAGCGGTTCCCCCAGTCGCCTGGGAGCTTTAGCTTTAGCTTTAGCTTTAGCGTTAGCTTAGCTGTAGCTTTAGCTTAGCTTTAGATTAGCTTAAACTTAGCTTTAGCTTAGCGTTAGCTTAGCTTTATATTAGCTGCAGCTTAGCGTTAGCTTAACTTTATATTAGCTTCAACTTAGCTTCAGCTTAGCTTCAGCTTAGCTTCAGCTTAGCTTTAGCTTAGCTGTACCTTAGCTTTAGCTCAGCTGTAGCTTAGAATTAGCTTAGCTTCAGCTTAGCTTCAGCTTAGCTTCAGCTTAGCGTTAGCTTAGCTTTAGCTTAGCTTTATAGTAGTTTCAGCTTAGATTTAGCTTAGCTTTAGCTTTAGCTTAGCTTTAGCGTAGCTTTAGCTTAGCTTTAGCTTAGCTCATCTATTACTGCTAATGCTGTTTTCCTAGGGGCTCCAACTCCTAGGTAGGGTCGCATTGGGATAATGTATGATCTGATGCAACTCCCTACTGCTGCTGCTCACAAACATCAAATTTTGACCCAGCTGCCTCCTTGAACTGGTGCGACTGCCAACGGCGATGCTGGCCCGTGAAGGAGCGGGAGGGGCGGGCGAGAACCAAGCGTAGGGGGAGGGAGGAAGATCCACCCCCTTTGACAGAGAGGGCCCTGACCAAAAAGAACCGCAGACACCACTGCGCACCCTGCTCACGCGAAGGGAGAACCACATCCGTGGGCGTTGGGAGCGGCCTCCCCCCAAACCGAAAAACATGTTGAACAACTACGCAAGGAACCGTGAACCCACTGCTGAACAGCCGCGTGTTAGCACCCGTGCCCCTCGCGTGCAAACATCTGAAGCGAAGGGGGAAGCAGGCGCACGCGCGGCCCCGCAGATCCTGGGCAAAAGCGCCGAGCGGACGCCCAAAGCTGCGCCAAAGGCGAGCACCGCGCGCTGAGGGCGCGGGGCAGCATTCGGTGGTGGACAGACCTCACTGTGGTAAACCTCCCCTTAGGGAAAACAACCTGGGAGCGAAGCCGACGGACCTGCACCCGCAAAAATGACGGCCGTGACGCCCTCTCGCGAACCGAAAACGGCCAATTCCTTAATAAGCGTGTCAGGGTACGAGGTCTATCAACCTCGGAGGTATTCGGGGGCAACTGGCTCAGGGTGGAAGGCATCCAGCTCGACTCGGCGATATGCGTCGCCGACAAGGGGCCCCTCCTCGTCCGACACCCCCACCCACGGAACCCCTGTTCTTGGGACCCCCCACCCCGACGATTTCCCCCCAAAAATCGACCGACGCCCCCCTCCTCGTCCGACACCCCCACCCACGGAACCTCTGTTCTTGGGACTCCCCCACCCAACGATTCCCCTCCCAAAATCGATCGACGCCCTCCTCCTCGTCCGACACACCCACCCACGGAACCTGTGGGACCCGCCCACCCCACGATTTCCCGCCCACAATCGACTGACGCCCCCCTCCTCGTCCGACACCCCCACCCACGGAACCTTTGTTCGTGGGTCCGCCCCACCCAACGATCTCCCGCCCAAAATCGACCCGCGCCCCCCTCCTCGTCCGACACCCCCACCCACGGAAACTTCGGGACCCCCCAACCCCACGATTCCCCGCCCAAAAACCACTGACGCCCCCCTCCTCGTCCGACACCCCCACCCACGGAATCTCTGTTCTTGGGCCCCCCCCACCCAACGATTTCCCGCCCAAAATCGACCGACGCCCCCCTCCTCGTCCTACACCCCGACCCACGGAACATCTGTTTTTGGGACCCCCCCACAGAGGCCCCCAAGATGTCCCAAAGAGGCCTGCATGACGCCCCAATATGCCTTCAAAGATACCCACGACCCAGGCACTACGCCACTACATCGGATGACGGATGCGAAGCATGATGCTAGTAATTCGACGACGACAACTGCGAGCAGTAGCAATATTGCTACTGGTTTTAACACCACGACTGATACTACCACGACTGATGCTGATACTTTCCCAATCAAGCCCCATGCCACAACGCACGAGGGAAAACAGAAGCAGCAGCGATCCCAGCAATCGGAGAGGCATGGCAGGAATACCAGCGAGCGGAAGTCAGTAGACGGTAGCGAGAGGGGTGACAACATTGCTTATGAGCGCCCGAGCTCCACTTCCACACGCCGTTCCTCACGTCCCATCCCTGGGGCCGCTCGCCGCGTAGTTTCAATCCCGCAGCAGTCTGGTCGTTCTCCCTATGCCGCGGTCTCCTCATCGCCCCCCCATCCTTCGACACCCCCTCGTGATCCACCCATCGGTCAGGTGGAGGCACGCAGGGAAAGGTAATTCATACTTACGGCCCAGAAGGGGGGATATCAGTGTGAGAGCAACGACGCTGAGCCCAGTTCGTCAAACATTGCGGCGTGTTGCGATGTCATCCTTGTATCCCTTGCTTCTCTTATCAGTTGCTCTATGAAATCAAGTGTTGATTGCAGTCTTCGGCCTGACAAGCCTATGGAAGGAAACAATGTCAAGGATGTCCATATCATCAGATATCAGTATCACCAGGACGCTGCTCGTACTGGCGGCACTGGTTCATATAATGAAAGCTACAAGGGCAAACCTACACACAATTGATATGGCATGATCTTTGCAGGGCGAATGGAGCGCCTGAAATCAACTTGACAGCAACACTCGTGAAACAACCGAGGTGGCATAAGATTAGAACCCACAACCGGTCCACAAGTGGAATGCAATCAAATCAGCCGCCTGCTTGAATCAGCGAACAGCCCGACTCGCACAGAGCTTTACCAGGTAAGATTACAATAACCAGATAGCTGTCACCGCGCAGCACCCTACAGCAACGTGGGGAGCATAAACAGGGGATTCGTGTCTGGACACAGACATCTCAACACCTCCAACGCTGAGAAACGGTGTGACGAAGTGCACATACAATTTCACAAGGTCGGCGTGGAAACGAAACTTCAAAAAACACGATCAAGCATTCGGTAGCCTGTGAAGTGGAGGGGGGTTAATAGAGAGGCGGGAGGAGGGGAGGAGAGAGGACGGAGCGGAGGGAAGGTAGCTGAGAAGAGGAAAGGGCAGGGAAAGAAAGCGGGACGATTCGGGAGTCGGAGGGAGAAGAGGGGGCGGAGGAGAAGCAGCAGAGGGAGAGGGGGGGGGAGAAGGTGACGGCGGGCGAGGACGGAGTGGCACAGAGGGTGAGGGCAGCAGGACGGGTGGGAAGGCTAGAAACGTGAGCGCACGGCGCTGACCTGAGTTCTCCCGCTGAGGGCGTAGCGGCGTAGCTATAAGATAGGGCGTCGATCGTGAGGGGCGGTGCTGAGGCGCAGTGCACACGGGCGCCGATGTGGACACGCACACGCCTCGGGAGGGGGCTCTGCGGGCACGGCACGGCGGACTGCTGCGCGGGTGGCTCCGGGCAGCGCAGGCCCGCTCGGCCCCGCGGGGCGAGCAGAGAGGCGTGCCCGGCGCCGCTCGTGCTGGGCGGGGGTCTTCCGGGGCCAGCGGCCAGCGCTCCCAGGCGCGGGGCGAGCAGAGGCGCGCGCGCGAGCGCCGCGCTCGCGCGCGGGGCGAAGGTCTTGCGGGACCGGGGGCCGCAGCTGCGGCGTCCCTGTCGAGCGAGGCCCAGGGCTCGACGACGACGACGACCACCACGACGACGACGACGACGACGACGACGACGACGACGACGACGACAACCGCGACGACGACGACGACGGCCGAACGATGGCCGGCGGTGGGCCCTCCTCCCTTGAGCGGCCTACGCTCTTCCGCGCCGCCACGGAGGAAACGAGGAGAACGACCAGGGCCCCAGGGGAGTTGGCCGCGCGGGCGGGCGGGGGGAAAGGCAACGGCCCCCCCCAAAAAAAGGAGTCCTGATTTCCACGGCCGTAGTGGTGCAAGGTGTCTCTGCGCCACTCCATCGTCTCTGGCCACCCCATGTTCTCGCCTGCAGAGGGGGAGCAAGCGGGAGAGTGGCTGCACGGAGGGCCAGGGAGGACAGGGAGGACGGGGGCAAAGAGGACAAGGACGAGGACAAGGACGAGTGAACACCTGTGTTCAGGCTGGGCTCGACAAAGAACAGAAAGGATAGAGGAGAAGACAAGAACGAGGGCGAAGATGAGCGAGGACGAGGACGAGGACGAGTCAGGAACATAGGAACCATCAGTCCAACGCTCAATTGCCCTCGATAGGAATGTGGGCTATGGAACCAGGGTGTCGCGGAGGAGTACGGCGACTCGGAAACGCAGTATGAGACGACCCCAGGGGCGTGAAGGTTAGAATCTCAAATCCTACGAGCCCTCTGGACGAACTCTTCGGGAGGGGTCACCCAGGGGTTGGAGGGGGGGCGGCACAGGGTGTCAGAGGATCCGGTTGTGCCTAAGATGGCTCCGATATCGCCCCGAATAACTGATAACGTCCGAACATGGCGCAGCATACCTCCAAAAGACCCCCCCCCAAGGGCCCTACGATAGCGCGCCGGTCTTCGGGCTCCGACTTGGGGACCTTGGTTGAGGACCTCAATATGTTTGATGGATGGTCTCGGCCCAGGAGGGCACGGCCCCCAAGACAGCCCCCAGGCAACCACAGGACGGCCAATAAGCTCCCGAGAGGGTTCCATGCTCGGGGGGGCTGCTCGAGCTGACTCCAGCGTCGGCGTGACCGTCCAGCACGAGCTCTGAAAAGTGTGTCATAGAGCTGACTCGGGGGTCTGTTCGGGCTGATCCTGAGATTCCGTTTGACGGCTGCCCCCACTTTCTGTCTCGCCATCCGCCACCGTGCCGCAGGCGCTGAATTGAGTGCCCCTAGATCCTCGCTGAACGTCAATACTGGATACTGCTGCTGCATCTTGAGGGAGAAGGGGCAGATAGTTACGACATATAGCAGTCAATCATACCTTGCATGTCCCCGTAGGCTTTTTTGCCCAGAGCGCTCACAACGCCCAGGCTCCCAGATTCCTCTGGGCTGTTGGGTAGTTCCTGGCAGGCGAGCAGATTCGCACTGAATTGGCAACTGGTTGATAAAAACAGCGCGTTCACAGTGGGGTCGTCTGTACTTTCTTCACTGCTGTGCCCCACTTGCTACACATCTCATGTTACTCCCAGACAGCTTATTATTCCTCAGACACACGGGAGAACCAGGAGCAGCAGCAGGAGCACGTCCGCCCTCCATCGGGCGAGCTCTGGCATCTATTGCGAAGGCGAAAGTCGTCGAGAGAGGTCCCCACGCTGGGCCACCAGAGAAGAACCTACGCGGGGAACCGGTGGTAGTGGAAAACGCGTTGCAAATTAGAATCTGGAAGGCCGCCGGAAAACTGACACCAGAGATGAAGGGGGAGATGGCCACGCTGCTGAGGGGCACGGCGAGAATCGTAGAACTTTTGAAAGAGTAAGGAGCGAGTCGAAAAATGACAGAAAATGTCGACATGTCGAAATGAAAACGCCCCCCCCCCTAGGACTGAAGCCCTTCGAGCCGAACAGCGGGGCCCCTGAGTTGGAAAAGACGTGCGAGCCAAGGACACTGTCCATCACTTTCGGGCCAGGCACCACATTCAGAAAAACCAGACTTTCTCTCTCTTCTGCAAGTAGACAACAGCAAAATTGCCAATCCCAGAGAGACGACGGCGTTCCAGGTCTCATTGAAGAAAAGCGGCGGAGAGTCCAAGAGACAGGCCATTCTGGACTGGGGCCTAGACATACCCAACCGAGCCTTCCAAGACCAAGGCAACCTGACGCAAGATAGCGCCACTTCCGTGTATTAAACCCTCCCCTGCCCCGCACACAGCGGAAACATGAATCGGAGAAGATGCAAAAAGAAAAGAAGTCCAAAGAAGGGAAAGCAATGTTGGACAAGGCTACTTCTTTGGAGCCGCAGGAGGTCCTGAAAACCCAAATGAAGCTCACAATTAAGAGTACAGGGAAAACGCCAAACAACAAGAGCCTTTGCAAGAGCTAAGGCTGGCAAAACTCGGGAATACAACCATGATGTCAAGTATTTCGATTTGCAAAACCAAGACGAGGCCGTGAAAATCAGAGCCCGCCATTGGACGAAGTCCCAACTTGCAGAAGGGAAAACGGCCAGCCCCGCGGTGATGGTCCAGGGAAGAGCCAGGGCGAGAACAAACGCAAAGGCGATGGCACTGGCAAAAACTACGGAGAGAACGGCAAGGACAGAAAGCTGGGAAAGGTCCCAGGCCTACTAGAAAGGGCTCGGAGCAACAGCGACAAGAGCGGCAAGAGAGGCAGGTCCTGGCGGAGTTTCGGAAATTCTGCCGGGGCATGGGCCTGACAAACCTCTCTGGGGTCATGCGCCCCGTGGAACTGGCACAAATCATCTACCTGTATTAGCATGCCGGCCGCCAGACTGATCACCTCAAGATAGGGGATGTCCCGTCGACTGTGCTCTATCCTCTCGAAACCCATAATCGAAAGCTTGTGTTCCACGACAAGGGCCTCTTCAATGCAGCGTCCGCGCCGAACAAGATCGCACAATTTTGCTCGCAACTCAAGTGTTACTATTTGCTCCGCAACATAGTCGAAATGCTGGTTCCACAAATCTGGTAATACGTACCACCCCGCAGTTGCAGATAAGAGTGAGGGGGCGGCGAGGACGTCAGCACTCTGCGAGGCTCCGAAGAAGCCCACCGCAGGCGCCATTACAAATTATGAAATGAGCCCGCCGCAGACGCCGATTGTTTCGTTCAAGCAATGCGGGTGGGTCGCGGGTGGGTCGCGGGTGGGTCGTGGGCTGGGTCGTGGGCTGGGTCGCGGGTGGGTCGCGGGTGCGTCGCGGGTGGGTCGCGGGCCGGGTCGCGGGCGGGTCGCGGGGTGGGTCGCGGGTGGGTCGCAATGTGGGTCGCAGTGTGGGTCGCGGGTGGGTCGCGGGTGGGTCGCGGGCCGGGTCACAGGGGGGACGACGACAACGAACAACACAACAACAACAACAACAACAGCAGCAGCAACAACAACAGCAACACCAGCAACAACAACAACAGCAACAACAACAACAGCAACAACAACAGCAACAGCAACATCAACAACAACAGCAACAGCAACAGCAACAGCAACAGCAACATCAACAGCAACAGCAGCAACAACAACAACACCAACAACAACAGCAACAACAACAACAACATCAACATCACCATCAACAACAACAACAACAACGCCAACACCAACAACAACAACAACAACAACAACTACTACTACTACTACTACTACTACGACTACTACTACTACTACTACTACTACTACTACTACTACTACTACTACTACTACTACTACTACTACTACTACTACTACTACTACTACTACTACTACTACTACTACTACTACTACTACTACTACTACTACTACTACTACTACTACTACTACTACTACTACTACTACTACTACTACTACTACTACTACTACTACTACTACTACTACTACTACTACTACTACCACACCACCACCACCACCACCACCACCACCACCACCACTACTACTACTACTACTACTACTACTACTACTACTACTACTACTACTACTACTACTACTACTACTACTACGACTACTACTACTACTACTACTACTAGTACTAATACTAGTACTAGTACTAGTAGTAGTAGTAGTAGTACTACTACTACTACTACTACTACTTCTTCATCAGCAACATCAGCAATCACTTTATCCTCACGCACCATGTTTCCACATGCCACATGCATACCTCATGATAACTATCCCCATCCTGGGGGACTAGTTGCTTGGCGCACGGGTGTCCGATATACCCACACCTAGAATTCCCGCCCAAAGAGGTCTCGCGAACACGTCATCCGAGGAACTCCAAAATATCCGCTCGGAAAGCACATCGCTTTCGAAATCCCTTCGCCCGCGCCCTGACAAGGAAGAAGAGAGAAGAAAGAGACACTGTTCCTTCCTTGGCCCCTCGGGAAAACCCATGGGCGCAGGAGAAACTCAAAGAGGCAGCGTCGCCGTCATCGTCGTCGCCGCCGCCGCCGCTGCCGTCGTCGTCGTCGTGGTCGTGGTCGTGGTCGTGGTCGTTGTCGTCACCGCCGTCGTCGTCGTCGCCGCCGTCGCCGACGCCGTCGTCGTCGTCGTAGTCGCCGCCGCCGTCGTCGTCGTCGTCGTCCCACGGCTTACACGATGTCCACGCGTCCTTACGCGAGCAACCACGCAGGGAAGCGAAACCCACGCAGATTGTCACAGCGGCGGTCCCCACGCCAGTCGGCCAGACGATGAAACTTCCTTGACCACCCCTCCACGCCCTCCGGGGTCCACGCAAGGCCCGAAGCTGCGCAGAAAGACGAAAGAAAAGGAAAAGGCAGAAAGGACAACGCTCTCGAGAAGGACGAAGAGGACGAGAGAAAAAAAAGGGAGAGGATGACGAAGAGGAGAGGCCAAGAGGACCACGCATCCCGTCCGGAAGGGCCGCAGTTAATTGCGATCTTTTGCAACCTTCCTAAGGCTCCGGGTGGGTCAGTGGCGGACCGCGGGGTGTTTCAGGGGCGGGCCGCGGGGTGGGTCAGGGGCGGGCGGCGGGGTGGGTCGCGGGTGGGTCAGGGGCGGGCCGCGAGGTGGGTCGCGCCTGGGCCGCGGGTGGGTCGCGGGGTGAGTCGCGGGTGGGTCGCGGGTGGATCGCGGATGGGTCGCGGGTGGGTCGCGGGTGGGTCGCGGGCCGGGTGGCGGGGGGGACGACAACAACAAACAACAGCAACAGCAACGGCAACAGCAACAGCAACAGCAACGACAACAACAACAACAACAACAACAACAACAACAACAACAACAACAACAACAAAAACAACAGCAACAGCAACAGCAACAACAACAACAACACCAACACCAACACCATCAACAACAGCAACAACAACAACAACAACAATCAACAAACAACCACCACCACAACAACAACAGCAACAACAACATCAACATCAACAGCAACAACAAA